GTCTAGTAATTTCTTGAAACACCTCATCATTTTCATCAAAAACTCGAATAACTGAAAACGCGCGCTCTAGGTGTGTTATTTAAAATCATCGAAAATTCAAAAGTTGGCTATGAAAATAAACGTACAACAAGAAAGTAGGTAATTTTTTGTGATCAGTAGAAATTGGCTGACAAATTATTATTTAGATACGTAACAAAATACGTAAAGTAAGTACAGATACTGAAATGTGAAAAACTGGGATTAACAACTAACCAAAATAAACACAAAAAACTTGAACGCCAACCAGAACAAACAACTGTTTATCGATAAATTACTTAATTGAACAACTTACTTGCTTCATTATCAAGTTTGATGTTTATTTTCATAGCCAACTTTTGAATTTTCGATGATTTTAAATAACACACCTAGAGCACGCTTTTCAGTTATTCGAGTTTTTGATGAAAATGATGAGGTTTTTCAAGAAATTACTACATTAAGAAAAGTTTCACAATTGAATTGCCCACACAACAAGGAGAAAGATTTTTTGAAATCCATCAAGGGTTAACAAAATTCTGTTGAATATTAATGGTGCGCCACCCGGTATACTCCCTTCACAAATTTCAATTAAGCTCTAGTTACTGTCAAGTAACGCCCTAAATACATCCACAAACTGTATCAAATTTGGTTGCTTTAAGTTCAAGAATAACGGAGATATTGATTTTTTTCAAAATTTATAACTCAAAGCCTATAACTCCTCAGGGAAGCAACTTGGTATAGAGGTGAGTTGCGTTAAATTGTCATATTTTGGGACCCCCTACATGCCCCTGCTCTATGTCGGTTCTTATGTTAATCACCCTGTATACAAACAAACAATAAAATCTTTCCTCTTTATAATATTAGTATAGATTAGGTACTTCTGTTACAAAACTGTAGATGACAAATTATTCCAAGGTAGATAGCATAAAAAAATCCCAAGAAATTGTTGCTGATAAGATGGCGGCAATGGAAACCTTGGCGTAATTTTTTTAGTTGATTTGCAAATCCGTTTCGTATAAAATAAAATAAAAACCGAGAGTGGAAACCCGCCTTCACAGGGGATTTTTTTCACTTCTTTGATCAAGAGATATTTTTTTACTACCTGAAAAATATACAGGTAACTGCAAAAAGTGCATGAATTTTAAACTGAGCACCCTATAACTTATCCTAGCCAGTGAATCATACCAGCAGACTAATATTCACGAGAATATTCGTCATAGTGATAACAGTGTGGAAAGGTTTATGGAATATTATTGTGAATCATGTTTATCGCTAATTTTACTTATCAAAAAAATTGATTGAATTTTCTGTTTTTATTTCCATACGAAATTTTACGAGGAATTTTATATTCTAATGAATTGTATTCATATTTTACTTGGAATTGTATTTATATTGTTCTTGGAATTCTCTGGATTTTTACAAAATTCTCTGGAATTTCTTGTAATTCTTTGAAATGTGTTGAAAAAAGAGCCGAGCAACAGTTTTTGTGGAATTCTCGAGGGAATTCTGGTATATATGATCATCTGGAACATTTGGAATTATCTGGAATTCTTTGGAATTTCTTGGACGAACTGCGGTAGAATTCTGGTCGACAAACAAGTGGAATTTCTTATCGAATTTATTGAATGTAATTGGACCTTCTTGACATTCCCTGGATTTTTTAGGATACCTCGGAATTCTTTTGAATATCTTGGGCGAACAGTGGTAGAATTCTCGATTTCAAACAACTAAAATTCTTTGGATTCATTTGGAATTTGGATCGCAAAATTCTCCTGTATTTCTTGCCAAACTCCTCCGAAACAGCTTGACCGATTGTTATGAAAATCCCACACCAGTGATTTTTATACAGTTAAATTGGTTTTTATGACAAATTACCGCAAATTACCACAATCGTGGGTACGTACCCACCAGATAATATTTTGACGTCCAAAAATACTGATTTTGTTCCACTTCAATTGAGTAGAAATCAACAATTAATAGGCTAAGAATCCATTGATGCCCTAACTGCATCTATTATATTATAGAATGCCACTAGCTGGGCCAGTGTAAGGCGTTATGGAAATTGGAAGGCTAAAATTCGAAATCTCTGGTACTGATGATAGCTTCAACAGGAAGATCAAATTACCAAGGTGGACGGACATACTGACCTTTATCAGAAATCCACGGAGGTTCGAAAAGGAGAATTAGGAAAAGAAATAGTAGATATTATGAGCACATGACGTGTGCAGCAGGGGTAGGCAAAAAAGGCTCACTGGGGCCTACTTGATAGGCGACCGTCCCCCCTTTCTCTACTACTACAACTAGTATGTACCTATACCTATGAAAAATTAATTGACAAAATTATGATTCCTTATCACTTGTAGTATCCCGAAGTTAATAAAAAATGGAAGAATATAATATGTTACATTTTAAACTAGTATTTTCATGCAAATATCATAGGAGGAAATCAGGAATCTATTATTGGTGCCGAAACTGCGACCCGCTGCGACCCAAACTAAATTTATTCATGAACCTGTATGCAAATCAAATGAACAAATAAATTCTGAAATTATTTAATTTCTAATTAGGAAATTATGATTTTTTCGTCAAAATTGGTAAATTCAAGGTGGCGGTTCCTATGTTCCTATGTATTATGGCGAACGAGTTTTGTGATTATGATCCGATTCTATTCAAAATTGGTATCTGGGGGGTTATCGGGGTCGAAAATTATGATTTTTTCGTCAAAATTCGGTATTTCAAGATGGTGGATCCAATATGGCGGAAGAGTTATTCAATTATAATCCGATTCTATTCAAAATCTCTCTCTGAGGGCTTCGGGATCGGAGATTATGATTTCTTCGTAAAAATCAGGAAATTAAAATTGGTAGGTGCCTGGGGGTTATGGGGGTCGGAGTTAATGATTTTTTAAGTGAGGGTTGCTGGGCTCTGTGCACGTGAATATATACCAAAGAAGGGAAGATTAGGATTTCGTGCAAGAAATACAAATCTTCCCTTCTTTGCTCGCTTCTTTGGTAATGATTTTTTAGTCAAAATTGCGAAATTCAGGATGGCGGACCCAATATGGCGAACGAGTTTACTAATTAGGATCCGATTCTATTCAAAATTTGTATCTGGGAGTTTTCGGAATCGGATATTATGATTCTTTTGTCAACATTGGGAAATTCAAGATGGCGGATCCAATATGGCGAAAGAGTATTCTAATTGAGCTCTTTTCTACCTTGAACGAGAGAGAGGGAAGCTCTCTCCTCTTCCATCTTTCTCTTCAGTGCTACCAACGTGGCCGCATTGAAATATAGAGAGACCCGATCAATCTTTCCTTGTCTAACGTCTACTTTGCGCCACTGAACTATTTTCGAAGTTATAATGGTGTGACATGTCTATGTCATAAATGTCATTGACTGATAACCCTTCGAATTTTCCATTGTATCATACTTATTTTGAGATCATTTTTTAATTTCGTTAAATTTGACTCTCTGCTGAATTAAAAAATAGTTCAGTGGCACAAACTAGATGTTAGACAAGGACAGATTTATCGGACCTCTCTATATTTCAATGCGGCTACGTTGGTATCATTGAAGAGAAAGATGGAAGAGGAGAGAACTTTCCTCTCTCTCGTTCGAGATAGAAAAGTAGGAAGGCCTGGAAGGGACACGTAAAATTAAAAAAAATAACTATTCAAAATTCTGAGTTTTAACTCGGAATTTCACATCAAAGTTCCGACTTATTGCTCAGAATTTCAAAATTCCCAGTTATAACTCGGAACTTTGGATGTAAAATTACGACTTATAACTCGGAATTTTAAAATTCTGAGTTATAACTCGGAATATTGGATGTGAAATTCCGAGTTATAACTCGGAATTTTAAAATTCTGAGTTATAACTCGGAATTTTGAATGTAGAATTCCGAGATATAAGTCGGAATTTTAAAATTCCGAGTTATTTTTTATTTTTTTTATTTTGTGTCCCTTCCAGGGCTTCGTAGAAAAGAGCTCAATTATGATCCGATTCTATTTAAAATTGGTAACTGGGGGTTTTTGGGGTCGGAGTTCATGATTTTCTAGTCAAAATTGCGAAATTGAAGATGGCGGGTCCAATATGGCAAAGGAGTTTTTTAATTATTATGGTCCGATACTATTCAAAATTTGTATCAGGGGGTTTTTGAGGTCGGAGATTATGATTCTTCGAGTGATTCTTACTTCAAAATTGGGAAATTCAATATGGCGGATCCAATATGGCGAACGAGCTTCTGTTAATAAATAGTACTTAGGTAGTATGAAAAAATAATATGAAACACGATTTTATGAAATCCAAACTAAAGAGAAGTAGAAAATAAATAGTAGTTGGAAGAACTAGAAAGGTCAGAGGGTAATGAAAACAAGGGTATCCTACCTCTAGGTATCAACCGAGATATATCTTTATTATACTATTTTTGTCACAGGGAGGGTATTAGGGCAAGGATTTCTTCCGAGGGTTCAATCTACCTTCCTTTTACAAAGCCGAGTCTGATTTTGAATTAATTTTCCAACAGCATCTCAATTTTCCCTCTGATTTCCTCATTGGAACCTTAACTGAGATGTGACAGTGATTTTAAAATCAATAACATGCCAGATAGAACTCCAGTCCGTGAGGAAGGTAACTGAACTCGAAAACTGAAAGGAACATGGTAAGTAAAAGAAAAAATGTGACCTCAACATTGACATTTATGGTCACAGCTTCATATCTCGGCCCCTCCTCTTTATTATGACCATTCATATATACCCGGATTATACGATTATATTTTATCTACCATTATCTACAAATGAACGAATTTCTTAATGGAATGAACACATTTTTATTTCTTATCTGATTATGATGAAGTCATTTTCTATTCAGGAAGATAACAACTAGAAGTAGGTACAACAATAATAAAACATGATAATGAATTGAAAAGAAATGCTATTATTGAGGTGCAGATGAACCACTACAATATTCTGATATATAACTTACCCTTCCTCTGGGGGTTGGTTCGAATGTTAATAATGTTTTGTTATTCAGTTCATTGAGAAATTCATCACTGTTCACTAATCACCCATGTTTATGAATTTTGTAAAGTTGCACTAGTGCACTGTACATGTATATAATTGCATGTTTCCGGCACATCAATAATTAACAGACATTGTATGGATATTTCACTGCCGAAATTCCTGAGATGATGGGCTTCAAACCCTTATTTCAAAACGAAATACACAGCTCCAACCCCAAACCCAACTACCGATACAAAATACGAAAAAGTTTCCATGTTTTCTTAACAGCGGAGATTGCGGTGTTGCCTTCGCTGCCAACAAAGTAACCTTTGCATCATGAATACCTATTTTTCCCATTATCGAGATGGAGCATATTATTGAGGATATTTCACTTTCGAAACCAGTGAACAAAATATTCAGATAGTCCAAGGCATGCAACTCCCATCTCGTTTAAGAACAATTCATTGATAGCAGGTCAACTGTTTCCGCATTCTCATGAATGAAAGAATTTAATGGCAACGTTGTTTTCTTCGATACATCATCCCCCCTCCCAAATTTCTTGTCCAGCCCAGCGTTGCCAAAACAAAACAGTAGAGTAGAGAAGGAATGTCATTTTGGAAACATTGCGGTTTTCATTGGATTAGCTTGATGTTTGAGTTGAGACCATTTGTCATTGTTCACAGAATAAGAATCTGGGATGAATGATGAGGAAATATAATGTAGACTTTTAACCAGAATGAATTGGCCTTCTCCTAATATAGCAGTTTACTGTTTATCTGATTTTGTTTCATTAGTGTTTATTGATGGCAGGGCATCAATATTTACATTTCATGTCTGTTGAAAGATAATATCCAACGGTCAACGGACCAATGTGAAACAATGTAAAATATATCTGGTGCGTGATCGATGTACCTGCAATCACATCATTCAAGTGGTATGGGACGGTATAATTCTTATCTCGTTATCAAATCGTAAAATTTTGTTCAATTTACCGTAGTGAAAGCAACATTTTTCAATCATTTTGCACAGGATGTGATTGGCACAGTTGAATAATTAAAAACTTCAATATTCTCCTCTTTCCGAATAGGTAGGCAGATACCCCTAACATGAAAGATGAAGAGGAAAATTAGAATTTCTTACAAAAGGTGTTCAATGAAATTATAGATTTATTTATTTAAAGAAATTTACAAATAATGTGAGACATTACTCAAATAATTTCAGCTATATAATGCAAAAAATATAATCCACTTATTTATACACCAAAAACTGACATAATTATTACAATCATCACAATAAAAAATTTGGGAATCACGTTTATCAAAATAACGTGAGAGGTTCTTATGATGAAAAAAAAAAGATAAATTTGCCAAAATTAATAATTAGTCTTCTAAAAATTGCAGGATAATTCACCGCCTGTCCCTGTAACGATGGCGGCTCCTACTTCTATCTCTAGATCGATCTCTGGTCCTCCAAATGAACTCATCAACTGATCTATCATAGGATCGCTTATCATTATACCCCCCACTCCTGGATGAAGAATACTCGGGTAGAGGCATTCCATCATAGTACCTTGGAGGTGGCAAATTATCATATGATGAATACATCCCAGGTGGTGCAACATATGGTAGAGGGGGCAACTGATGCTGCATGGTTCTCATGTAGTCAGCTACATAAGCTTCAGCTGCAGCTGCCGTATACGGCCGTGGAGACTCACGATCATAGTACATGGGGTATCTATCTCTAGGACGGGGTGAATTAGAACGTCTGTAAGCACTTGAGGAGGTCAGCCCTCTGGATAAGAAGTGTTTTCTTCTGGAATAGGACCCTCGACCTCTAAACCCATGGGAAGATCTAGCTGCCAGGGGCATCCTTGATTTTGGATGTCTGTTGCCATCATGGCTACGTAGCCCATTCTTTTTAGAAGCCTCCTTTGCTAACCTCAATATGGGTGTTATTTCAATGCCCTCATCACTTGGAAATAAACGACACAATTCTTCTGCTACTCTGGGTTCGATTTCTTGTCCATCTCTGCCTATTTTCACTGGTTTTCCATCATTCCAAGGGTTGTACAAATGCATGGTGTTGGAAAAAGGTAATTCTTTCCTGCATATCCAATCCACTTTGAAAACTCCTCCAAGTGCCTTGGCTGAAAGCCCAGGGGGTAGGACCCAGGATATTGGAGATCCATCATGCCTAGATTCACCATGTAACCTAGCAAAGCCTGCAAATTTTCCACTCTCTTTCACAGAGAAAATGAGCAAAACATTTCTAGACTCCCTATATGCTCTGTTCAAATTGGCTTCATTCTGAGGTAATGTGGACCAAACGCCTTTAGCTTTAGATAGAATGATATTTTCAGCATTGTTTGATTTAATCACAAAGAACCTTGCATCACGGAAGAGATAGTTCAGTTTAGTCAGATAATCATATGACTTACTTTTAGTTTCTTTCGATCGGTTTCTCTTGGTGACTGGTGAGGAGCTTTTGTCTTTGGAAAGGCCCCTTTTATGACGGGAACGGCGCCCCTTTCCTGACGAATTTGTGCTTACTGAGCTTATGCTTGGGGCAGAGGAACTCTCTGAACTTGAGGAAGAAACATCACTCTCATAATTCACCTCATCCAATTTCATATCGTCACCCATATCCAAACTCAAGTTCAGATTTTCAGCATCGATACTGCCATTCTTGTTAGAGCTTTTTGAGTCCATTATCATTCCCAAAAAATGTGGATGGGTGTACGGTATTTCCCTATTATCATCAATACTGAATGAGAATATACATATTTCGAGAGAAATTATCGGGAAATATCGTATATTTTGATACTTATTCCAAATTTTTCTTTAACAATCAAGGAATCAAAAGATAAATATACATTTTTTAACCAAACAAAAACACAACGACTAAAGTTGGCAACATTGTTAAATTGAAGTGACTCAAGTGACGTTTGAATATTGAAGCACTGAACTTGCACCACAGACACAGAACTCTGATCTAAGATTATAATTATTATAATATATGAGTTCTGTGACTTGCACTGAACTGAAGTCAAGAGTGTCAATCAAGAGGCCGTGATTATTCGTCCGATTGTCGGGTGTATAACCCATGGGGTTGTCGTCTCAGCGCCACTGTCAAAACTATTGTATTTCTATTATTTACTTTATGTTCTGGTTCCCACGAAAAGGAATATCCTGTAATATAATAACACTCCGATGAATTGTTGATTATTGAAAATGAGATTGCAAAAACAACAATACCCTTCGTTTTTCAAATTATTGGTCATACTTGACATTGGAAAAAGAAAATGCATATGACAAATGACACTCTATTTGACAGTAATTGCTGTTGCTGCCAATAAATATCACTAATGTGATCAAGCTTCAAGCACGAATTGTTTTTTATCATTTCTTTGTCAAAGGTTTTGTCCAATCCTTGTCCAAACATTCATAATTAACATTTGTATGTCTAGGGAGAAGGATGCTTTCAAATTTAGACCAATCAAAATATTCCAGAAAGTGGGTGACTAGAAGTACCAGAAGCATGATTTCAATACTCAATTCAATACTACCTGAAATGAGCCACCATGCCGTGCAATGAAAATGTGAGGATTTTTCTTCCTGTATAAACTTACTGTGGAGGCATTAACTTCCGGAGCCTATCACAGGCCGATACTGATTCGCCATTTCTACGTTATTTTTCAGGATCGGGATATGTGCGCGAAGCACTCGTCACAATATTGTACACCAGAGCAATGACGGCTAGATATCTAGACTGTCTGACGGTTTATACATGACTGTTCATTCAGCGAAAATCGTCAAATTCGCCCTGTAATGAAATTTCGAAGGGACGGTATGTGGCGTCATCTATATTTAGCCGTCATTGACCAGAGTAGAATGTGTAGCATAGATACCTTTCGGTGTTATATGGTGAACACTTACACTGTGTGCGTTGTCAATGTATGGTGTATTATGTATTATAACACAACAGTTGGAGTTGGAGCAATGTTGGAGATAATTTACCGCCAAAATAGAGTTACACTTGATCTGGAGGTGTGAGAAGTGTAGTGCATATCATTTAATCATTTTGGTAAACATTTCTAAATCCTAAGATGGATTATCCAACTACTGATAAAAGAGATTTCATTGATCGATCCTCGTCAGAAGAATTGTAACTGATTCATTATCTGAATTCAAGAAACTGTTAATGATTTAATCATCACTGTCCATTTTTTTCTAGTTCAGAGTTTTTACCATGCAGCCGTTCAAGCCGAAAAGTGCAGTGTACAATATAAATTTCATGCAGAAACAAAGAACAGACCTAATGTAGATTTGAAGATGGCAATAAAGAGAATATCGCTAAAAATCAACTCTTTTTTTCAGGTCCATTGAAGAATTTTCTTCTATTTCTCCGAATACGTATACATTGTTCAATGTATTCATCTTTATGATAGTTTTGCAATGATGAAGGATTAGGTATGGAATAAAATAAACAATTTAAAATACCAATTTAATCAAATTGTAATAGGTCATACAACACAGTTGCAGTAAAATCTAACTGATAAAATAACTAAAATTTCAAAGACGTCTATCTATTGAGCTCCACAAATATGAAAATTTCACATGTAGTTATTGAAGTGGTCCGAAAAATTCAGCGTTTAATCTTAAAATTAATAATTCCATAAAAAAATACAAAAATCTATAATGAATTCCATTAAGAAACTAGATGAAAAATTTAGTGACGCAATGTTAAATGGAATGAACACGATGAATACATTTTTTTTCTTATGTGGTACACATTATTTTCATACACTGATACTGCACTAACATGAATGACCAATGAGAGGCTGAAAGACGAGATTCACCAATGCTGATGGAATTGATGGCAAAATTAGTCTTTGCCCACCAAAGTCTATGATACGAACTACAATTGCTTACAATAAAAAAAATCTTAAATTATTTATACAAACAATAACCTTATCTATCAATAATGAATATATTTATGATGAATAAAAGTGTCCTCTATATCTCATAAAAAAAGCTATAATAGTTTTGTCAATTACGAGTATTTCAAATATATTTCCATAGAAGAACAGAGGGGAAACTTACAAACTAGATTGTTGCACATAGTTTATAGATGAAGTTATAAAATAAAAATTAATGAAAGAAAACTGAAAGATGGAAAACACCAATGTATATAATCAGTGGAGATGAAGAGAACACTTTTATTTGCTCTCCTTTTCTTTATTTTCTTCTGTGATTTTGTCCTTCTCCTTCTCGTCAGCCTGAAAAATAAAAATGTTCTTGTATTAAAACATCAATTGTGCAGTAGTGAATAATACTACTAGTAGGGATATCTTGAATGATGATACTGGAGTATGATAATTTCCAAACAACTCAACTACAGTTTGCAGCCGAGTTTGGTCGACTCTTGGCGAATTTGGCAAAACAATATCAACAATAACTGACGTCATCAACATCGATATTCGTTGGCGGAATAGCCCAATTCACAACAGAAATTTATTCAAATGTCAAGAAAAATCTTTTGAGGTATGTAAAAACACAGTGTAATTGAATATGAAAAAATCAATACCAGTTCGGTAGCCCCATTACACAGGGTTTCGCCGATTTCATAGGGACAGTATATTGGTATTTCCTAAACGGTAAGAGATAGAAAGTTGATCAGATCAGACAGAAATTGCGTAAATCAGACCTCTTCAGTATGCCGTTTTGCAACCTGATAAAATGTCAGCTGTTCCTAAAATATTTTGAATACACTGAAAATCACATACTTTGATTTTATTCATTTTCTCATTTAATATTTGAGGAAGAAATCCGAAATTTTGCGTAAACTGAAAATTAATCATGACAAAGAAGCTAGGATTTTCAGAATATTATTCTATATTCATTAGTTCCAGAGATTCACTATGCAACCTGTTTCTCTCGTTGACGCCATATTGCTTCGGTCGTCCCGCAAAATACCATCGTTACACAAAATAAAGTGTTTCTTCACTGGTTACATAAAAACCAAGTACAATTACATACAGCTGATTTTCATTGCGCTCTTATGTTGTCATCAATAAAGCAGTGTCACCTGATGTCACAACATGACGCACACGTTGTTTTTATCAGCAGATCGGGGGAGAAATAAAGCTGTGTAAGAATCTCAATTCTATTCTTTCCAAACCGTTGGTGATTTTTTTGAACTTGTAGATATTTTACGAGAAAAATTTGTATAGGTTGTAAGCTGAGTATCTTTTGAGGTATTTCAGGTGTATTACAGCTGAATTTCAAGTGAATTCAGTAATTTTAAATTGACAAATAAACCAATTTATACTTTTCATCAGACTCATTCATTTTTCTCACAGTATTCACTAGGAATGAATCAATAAACATGTCAATAAATGAATGCTCAAGGTATTCTATTATAGTAGGAAATGTGCAGCCATTTTATGGCTAGTTCTAGCCTTTTTCAAACTCATCTAGCCATTTAGCCATTTTTTTCAAGCTATTTTGTATTCTGACTTTCTATAAAATTATTTTCATATGTATTTATAATATTCCCATATATATAGTTCACTATATTCACGATCTAATCTAAGTCAAATTCAGACAAGTCTTAAATTCTATGGATTTTGTACTCCATGCTTTGTGACATTTTCACAAATTGACGTCAATGACGTCAACACATCACGTCATAGGTCAATGCCAATACTACTTCAGTTGAGTCTAGCTTTGTTTATTGCTGGGCGATTTTGGCTCTGGCGGTGATGGCGATGAAACGGGTGATGTTACTATTGGTCGATGGTGGCTACCCAATTCAAAGTCCATTTCAACTCAGGAGCCAGCATTGGAAACCATTGGGAAGTGCTGACTCTCGCTTTGATTGGTTAATAGGTATTAGAGGCAATATTACACCTGGCTGATATTATGACGTTTGATGTGACGTAAGGATTGAATGTTTCTTCATGTGAAGATGATCATATCACATATCATCACAGTTTATTCACTTGTCGTATTTTTTATATGTTACAACAAATCCTGAGAATAAACACAAACCCATAGTGGAATTCAATCATTAGAATGGCTATGATTTGTGTGCTGTGCAGGCATAGTAGTTCAATATTACTAGATCATCGCAACAAACTCACCTTCTCCTTCTCCAAATCCTTGTCTTCGGGCTCCTTCTCCTTATCCCCGCTCTCCTTCTCGTCCTTCCCCGCCTCCTTGTCCTCTTTTCCCTCCTCCGGCGCAGGCTTGGGTAGATGCGAGTTGAGGTCCAAGGTCGCGCAGATGTCGTCCCAGTCGGCAAAGCAACGCTCCTTCGTGCGATTGACAAGACCGACGAGGTTCGGACAGGACTCGGTCATAAAGTCCCTCAAAGGGTAGCTGACCTCCTTGTCGATGAAGTAGATTTGGGCGAGGTGGGCGAACACCACGATGTCCAGCTGGAGGGGGGGGGGCACATTTTTAATCAGTCACTTGATATTTCATTCAATCAAACAGTCGAATAATTAGTCGACATTCATGTATGTGTGTAGGAAATCACGTCAGGTACCCTTACGAGGGGAGTGTATCAACTTTGGCAGTCGAAATATCTGTCTACAAAGAAGGGTGTCGCCTAACAGTGGTTGTATCAATGGAACAGGGCTCTTAGAAGGGTGGACCAACGTTTTCTTGCATAAGTGGATATCATAATGCATTATTAATGGTGCAATTAGAAAAACATAATACTTAAGTCGCGCAGATGTTCGGACAAGGGTAGCTGACTTCTTTGTCGATGAAGTATATCTTGTCCAGCTAGGGACCAACAAGAAATTAATTTTCAGTCAATCACTAGATATTTTATTTAATTGAACAGTCAAAAAAATTAGTCGATTTCATGTATGTAAGTTTATGGAATCACTTCAGGTACCCTTACGAGGGGAGTGTATCGACTTTGGCATTCGTAATGCCTTTCTACAAAGGAGGGTGTCGCCTAACAGTGGTTGTTTTAATGGAGCAGTTCTCTAAGAAGGGTGGACCCATGTTATCTTGCATATGTGTGTATCATGATGAATGATAAATGGCGCAATCAGAAAAACAATACTAAAGTCGTGCAGATATTTGGACAGGACTCGGTCATAAAGTCCCTCAGAGGGAAACTGACGAGCGAGGTGGACGAACGCTACAATGTCCAGCTGGGGGACAGCAAAGAACGAATTTTTAGCCAGTCACTAGATATATCATTCGATCAACCAGTCGTCATTCATGTATGTGTCTTGGATATCATGTCAGGTACCCTTACGAGGGGAGTGTATCAACTTTGGCGTTCATAATCCTTCTATAGAAAGGAGGGTGTCGGCTAATAGGTGGCTAACAGTGGTTTTTTCAATGGAGCAGCGCTCTTAGAGGGGTAGACCAATGTTTTCTTGCACATATATATATATCATAATGAATGATAAATGGCGCAATTACGCAGATGTCGTCCTAGTCGGAGAAGCAGTGCGGTTCACGAGGCCGACGAGGTTTAGACAGGACTCGGTCATGAAGTCCCTCAATGGAAAGCTGACTTTCTGGTTGATGAAGTCGATCTGGACGAGGTGCGCGAACACCACGATGTCCAGCTAGGGGTAGCAAAGAACGAATTCTTAATCAGTAACTTGTAATTAAATTCAATAGAACAGTCGAAAAATTAGTCTACATTTATGTATGTGAGTGTATGGAATCACGTCAGGTACCCTTGAGAGGGGAGTGTTTCAACTTTGGGCGTTCGTAATGCATCTCTACAAAGAAGGGTGCCGCCTTCAAGATTTAGGTATGAAAAGTTCTTTTCCATATTATTCATGCACTAAAGGAAAGCAACAGTCGTTGTTTTGATGAAGCAGTGCTCTGAGAAGGGTAGACCGTGGACCCATGATTTCTTTCATATGTGTATATTTTGTTGAATATTATATGGCGCGATTAAAAAAACAATACTAATTAATCCAAGGGTTTTTCAGGATATTCCATTCAGGATAGAAACACTCGCTTATACGAATCATCGCAAATATTTCACGGGGATGTAATTCAAATTCGCGACAACGATTCCAAGTTTTTTTCTCATCGCGCAATGAGCTCATTTTCTATTGGTACTTACGTTTGTTGGTTCGTCGCCGAAGAAGAACGGCTTGTCAGCCAACATGTCGGAGAGCACTTTGAGATCCTGCTGGCCGAAGTCGTTGATCTCCTCTGCCGAATGCACACCCATCCCTTGGGCTTTGACCTTCTTCGTACCCTGGAACCACTAAATCGTCAATAACTCGATTAAATTCACCTCTTACGACACAACACTGCAAAAAACATGCCGAACATGCTGCTAACATCGTCCAACAAATGGGTTAGGATACAGAGGAATGGGTAAGTCACAAAAATGCATAACGTAACGATTAACAAAAATTGAATACAGATACCACGTAACACAAAACACATTTCGTAAAATTCTGGTAACTGCCATTTTTATCCGATTAAAAAACACACAAGATGATGATACTTCCAAAGCAAAACTATTTTTAAATGCCCTAACAATGAGAACTGAATAAATTTTGAAAAAATCAGCTGTAGATACTTTTTCATGTTTTAGGGAATATAAACAGATATCCTAATTTGCTTCATTTTTGAAATAGATGATGTTGAACTTGGAAGTATTATTTTTTTTTATGATTCAATAAATCTACCATACTTTAGATTTGTGAGATGTTCTTTGAATCTAGTTTTAAAGAGTCTCCTGGCTTGAGCCTTTTCGCAATTGTTACAACTGATTTCGAAAATTCCTTATTATTTATACTCTGGATTTCGTACTGCTTAATGAATTACCTAAATTTCATTAATTCTTCAAAATCGTGTAAAACATGTCTGAGTTACAGCTTGTTATAAGAAATTTACTGAACCACATGATATACAATGGATAATGGAACCCAAACCAAAAAACATATTGTGCTAATTTCAACTATAATCGATTAGAATAAGTATGATACTTTCAAAACATGTTTCTTTCACTACTAGATTATGCAAAACCGAAATAGAATCTACCAAATCAATCAAAGAGACTAACTAATTCGTAAAATAAAATGCTCTACTCAAAATTGCAATGAAGTTCTATTGTAGGAGCAGCAGAACAATTACAATCTATTTCTGGAAGATACTTTGAAATGCAACCACGCTAATTCGTTTTAAACAATGTAATTCTACTCACAAACCTACGTAAAAAATGGAAACAAGATCATAAAATGTATGAAACAAATAACACCATGAAGTCTCTAGTATTATGTAGTCAAATTCATATTCCTTTTTATATCACACTGGGGAAATTACTAGCATTTCTCGTTTCAGCAATTTCATGGAAACATTTTAATGGCAACAATGAACAGCAAATATGATAAAAATACATGACATAAATTATTTACTAAGTATACTGGGTGGACCCAACCCAATCTAGTTTCACAATTTTCGTCGATCATTTCACAGAGTCCAGAGTTGAATTATTCACTATTAAGTTATGGAAGAATATGAAGCGACTATTGCCCAATTTCACATTGTACTGAGCAGCATATCTAGCAATCAAAACTTTACTCACGATTTAAATTTTCAAACTACGACCAAATTCAATTCCATCATATTTCGGAAACATCAGAGTAACGCCAGATGGCAAACAATAACTCTTAGGAAGATCGGAAGATCCCTCGGTGAAGTGGTAAGAATAATGTTCTCACAATATGAAATGACAGAAGTGCTCTTGAACGATGAAGTGCTTACAATCAATGCTACTTTTTATAAACAATTTGAAAACCTTCTGGGCGAGGACTAGATGAAATGTAACAACTGACCTCAAATAATGTGGGAATGGACGAATGGACTGATAATGAATTATTAGCAATCAATTACTCCACTGTGTTGTTAGGGAACTAAATTAATTTTTGCAATATTTCTCACGCATTTTTATGTAACTAATGAGTTTATGCGTTTTTCAAAATTGTTGAATTTCAGAGCTCATTTCAAACGTACCGTCATGGCCGCCATTTGGAGATACGTCGAATAAATGGTAACGTCAGCTTTTATGCTGTTTCGTTATTGGTCAGATAATCTTCCATTTCCACTCATGAAGCAAGGTTGCCAAGTCACCAATTATAATCAATTTATCAAAAAGACTTGGCAACAATGTGCTGAATGCTGAGAACTGACAAGGCACCGCCCACAATTCGTGATACCGTGTTGTCACGTTTACTCTCAAATGTCTTATAAACAATAAGCCACAACAGATGAGGAAATATATTGAGAAAATTGATTTTTTATGTCTAATTAGGAATATAACCAATACAAAAATGTAGGATCTATGAATTATTGAATAACTTATATTTCCCAAGTTCCAAATCGTATTTTAACACATGGCAACTGTGCTATGGTCTGCCCCTACTTACGAAATCGTGACGTCAGTTTTTACTCGCGGTACATTTTGAGCTGTTTGAAAATTACCGTGGCATTATTGTTGATTTTACCACCTTAAAATAGAATGAAAAATTCTAAAAAAAATAGGGAAAAAAAATGCCCATTCGCCTATTGTGGCGGAAATGATGTTTCTTTTTGAATGAACTGCTGATACACGGTGAAGAATGACCAAGAGTAAGTTCATTTAGGATAAAGTGACCATGGTGATGTACACTCAAAAGGAACTATGGAGGACTGATTTGTTGGATGAACTGACCAGAATGATGTATCACAAGGTAAAGTGACCATGATAAGTGCTCCCCAGCGATGGAGTGTGTACTATCAACTAATGTTACTTTCTCTGACAAATTTTGAAGCCTTCTGGGTGAGAACTAGCTCAACTGAGAGAGACAACTGTATGTTTCCTCAGGTAACTTTCTAACCTAGCTTAGTTAATAGTCAATCTTACTTTGACGCACTGAATGCCTTATATACCCCAAAACCTGACCTAATGCCTGCTTACTTTCCTTCCGAAGGCGAATTTCAAGAAATTCGGAATCCTGGTGCCTAGCGAGTGCTGCAAATTGTCCTTGTAACCATTGAGCATCTAATCCGGATATTTTGTGCGCCACCACAAAGGGGCCTCCAGATAAAGTACAGAGGATTAACTGACTTCAAATGTATTGGAATAGCGAGGGGAATAGTGAAGTAAATGATGTTTCTTTTTAGAAAGATCTGTTGATACACAATGAAGAGTGACCAAGAGGAAGCTCTTTCAAGATGAGGTGAACATGGTGAAGTACACTCACCAAAAACTGCCAACTACTGACTTGATGTTTGTTGGATGAAGTGACCAGAATGATGGTAAAGTGGCCAAGAGAAGTGCTCCCAAGCGATGAAATGTGTACTATCAACTAATGTTCCTATCTCTGACAAATTTTGAAGCCTTCTGGATGAGGACTAGTTCAACTGAGAGATAACTGTGTCTTTCCTCAGGTAAGTTTCAAGCCTAGCCTAAATCGACATGATAAAAAGATATCTCCTTACCTTTTTTTCCGATGGCGAATTTGAAGAAGAAATTCAAGATGCCGTTTGGTATTCTGGTGACCAACGCGTGCAGCAAATTGATATTAGCACTTACACCAGGTGGCTCTCAAGCATGACAAAGTGGCCTCCAGATAAAGTACAGAGGATTAACTAACTTCAAATGTGTGGGAAAAGCGAGGGGTATAGTGAAGAAAATGATGTTTCTTTCAGAAAGAACTGTTGATACCGAATGAAGAGTGACCAAGTGGAAGCTCTTTGAAGATGAAGTGAACATTGTGAAGTACACTCTCCAAGAGCTGCCAACTACTGATTTGTTGTTGTTGATCATGTTTGTTGGAAGAAGTGACCAAAATGATGTTATCACATGGTAAAGTGAGAGAGAAGTGCTCCCAAGCGATGAAGTGTGTACTATCAACTAATGTACCTTTCTCTGACGTATATTTTGAAGCCTTCTAGATGAGGACTAGCTCAACTGAGAGACACCTGTATCTTTTCTCATGTGAGTTTGGAACCTAGTCTAGTAAATCTTACTCTGACACATCGATTGCTAGATATACCGCAAAACCTGACGAAGAAACAGCCTCTTACCTTCCTTCCGAAGGCGAACTTGAAGAAGAAATTCAAGATGCCGTTCGGTATCCTGGTGCCTAGCGAGTGCTACAAATTGCCCTTGTAACCTTCGAGTATCTGGTGCGGATATTTTGTGCTCCACCACAAAGTGGCCTCCAGATAAAATACAGAGGATTAACTGACTTCAAATGTGTGGGAATAGCGAGGGGAATAATGAAGAAAATGATGTTCCCTTTCAGAAAGATCTGTTGATACAGAATGAAGAGTGACCAAGAGGAAGCTCTATCAAGATGTAGTGAACATGGTTGAGTACACTCACCAAGAACTGCCAACTACTGACTTGAAGTTGTTGATCATGTTTGTTGGATGAAGTGACCAGAATGGTGTTATCACATGGAAAAGAGACCAAGAGAAGTGCTCCCAAGCGATGAAGTGTGTACTATCAACTAATGTACCTTTCTCTGACAAGTCTGACATATTATGAAGCCTTCTGGATGAGGACCAGTTCAAGTGAGAGAGACAACTGTTTCTTTCCTTATGTAACTTTGGAACCTAGTCTACTAAATCTTACTCTGACACATCGATTGCTAGATATACCGCAAAACCTGACGGATAAACAGCCTCTTACCTTCCTTCCGAAGGCGAACTTGAAGAAGAAATTCAAGATGCCGTTCGGTATCCTGGTGCCGAGCGCGTGCTGCAAATTGACCTTGTACCCTTTGAGCACCTGGTCCGGGTACTTGGTGCGCCACCACATCACCACCCACGCCAGATGGTTCTCGATCATGAGTATGGTGGCGTGAGCGACGTTGCGCTGTTCGGGCGTCAGCCAAGCGTCGAGGTCGTGATTGAACTTCTGCGCCAGCTCCCTGATGATGATGGCGCTGTCGGCGATCTCCTCGCCGTTGACCTCGACGAAGGGCAGCTGGCCCTTCTTCGAGCGGTACTTCATCTTGTGATCGACATTCTGGAAAATAACGGAGGGTTTTCAATAGTAATAATAATAATTAGGGAGCTTTATTGGATACCCAAAAGGCCACCGACCGAGGTCCTTCAGCCTGTGTTACACAGTGATTATACATTGAATTTAAATTCAGCATCAATGCCGATAGAAACTCTGCCAGAAATTCAGTGGGTGCCGATATACTTTCGTCAGCATCGGTATATTCGCTCAAATCTTCGTTGCTACTAGAAGTTGGTTTCAGTAATCCAGCTATGTTGCCGTTATCCTCCTCCATCATCGTTTGATCCACCAACCCAATGACGTTTCAACTTCTGTATTATTCATTGTGACTTTATAAGGTACTGCAGTCTGATGATGGCCGTTGTGCCGAAACCGGTTACTGTTCAATTGACTAACTTTTTCACATAAAGTGTGGTCGACTGACTTTGAGTATTTTCATTTTCATTGAAAATATATTGGACCACTTTGAGTATAAATGATTTCTACGATTTTTTTTATCGCTCGGAGCGCACGAAAGGGAATCCCTATAATGTTCAAAGAACATCGTGCGTTCCTAGGGAGGATAGGGATAGGAGGTAGGTATTGGAATTTTTTTTGAACTTCTGGAGATTATATGTTGTTGGGAATACTTCCTCAGGGGCAATGAATTCCAGAGCCTAGCCGTTCTATGGAAGAAGGAGTTTTGATAAAGTGCTGTTCGACATCTTTCGAGGTTGACAACGAAAGGATGTGCTAACTGGGCTTGTCTAGTTCGTCTGACTGGTATTGCTAGTGAAGGGATGATAGCAGAGATTTCCGAAGAACATTTCCCGTGGAAGTATCGATAGAAAAGTGAAAGGTCGCCGACCTTATTAATATATGATTTTTCTCTTTCACTTCTACATAAAATATCATTAATTTCGTAATAAATTTCAATATGGTCACAATATGAAAACAGCCGGATGAGAAATGGAGTGATTATTATTTGCTCTTTCTCATCATTTATTCTGCAACTGCAAATATTGTAGTAAGAATATTCACTTCACCATGACTGACACAATGATCTAATGGCTAAATAACCTGTAGAACCATAACCCGTATCTAATTGTGAGAAAAAGTATGTCCCGACACAATTTCGCTGTATTATTACGTGTTAACGTGCTCTGTGCATTTTGTATCGCATAAATGTTAAGCTAATCGAAAAAAGTTAGGGAGTTGATACATTTTCATTTCGACAAATTTCTTCAGATTTTCAATAGGCGAGTGGACAGTTCATTTTATTTCTTACATAGAATCATCACTCAAATACCTTTCAATTTCATATTTTTTCAGAATTTTTCGTTCGATTTTGAGGTGCTGAAATCAACAATAATGCCACGGTAATTTTCAAACGGCTAAAAATTTACCGCGATTGGAACTTCAGAAATATCAATTATTCAATGATTCATGATTTCTAAATTTTGTATTTGTTATATTCCTAATTTGACATACTTCCAACTTCAACATCCTGTATCTCGAAAACGAAGCAAGTTAGTACAAATCTTTATATGAACTTTATATCCTAAAATATCACAAGAAATCACAACTTGAATTTTTTCGGTGTTATTGAGATACACCCTGTATAATTCGAGTTTGGAAAACGTGAGTCACATGAACAGGGAAAGTAGAGTGACATAAGACAATATTTGATAAACTTTGTTCTTTTTTCAATGCATCAAAAACAAGAATATAATTCGTTAATTTTGCAAAAAAAATCATGACGTATCTCCACTTATGAAAAATATTAAAACAAAGCAGACATTGAATGGTATATTGTTTAACGAGCACGGAATGATAGTGATTTCCTACGAGAGGCGAATGCTGCAAACTTACGGCCATAATATACAGGGTGATCCACGGTGGATGGCCTATTAGAAGTATCTGGAGAACGAAAAGACAGAACATTCTGAAAATTGGGTTTCTTCGATAATTGAACATTCTCTATCCGTCTGAAATATTTTCATCGATACAGTGTTGCCACTTCTATCAGCAACAACTAGCAACTTTGTTATTTCAAATAAAACACCCTGAATTTTATTGCATTTTTAAATTCTTTCTGAAGAGCTGATTTCATCAATGTATCACACTTGGGGTCTAGCAGGAATGATTACAGAGATATAGGGTGTTCAAAATCGAGATTTTTTAATTTTAGGTTTTTTTGTGTCGAAACTATTCATTATCGATCAAACCGGCTTACATGTCCCTATCTTAACTTTTGATTCACTATCTACTGGAATTTGATTGAAAAAAATACAGGGTGCTTCAAGATTCAGAATTCTGATCACCCTGTATCTGTTCCAATTAAATGTCAGTAGATAGTGAATCGAAAGTTAAGATAGGGACATGTAAGCCGTTTTGATCAATAATGAATACTTTCGACACAAAAAAATCCTGAAATTGAAAAATCTCGATTTTGATCACCCTATATCTATGTAATCATTCCTGCTAGACCCCAAGTGTGATGCATTGATGAAATCAGCTTTCCAGGGAGAATCTGAAAATGCAATAAAATACAGGGTGCTCTATTTGAAATAACGAAGTTGCTAGTTGTTTCTAATAGAAGTGGCAACACTGTATCGATGAAAATATTTTAGACGGATAGAGAATGTTCAATTATCGAAGAAACCCAATTTTCAGAATGTTCTGTCTTTTCGTTCTCTAGATACTTCTAATAGGCCATCCACCGTGGATCAGCCTGTATAACAGCGGCATTTTCGATTTCTTCGTCTTGTAGCCATCTGATTTTCTGTCAAGTAATGCTCATCTTTTAGACAGAACTGTCATTGCTTGAAATTTGACATTCCATAAGCGATGAGATTTTTTTGAAATAATAACACAATGGAGTCATTGTGGTATCAGATACGGAAATAATATTGATGACATACAATGTGTTATAGCCGTAGAAAAACAAAATATCTTGGCTGAGTCATCTGTGAATAAAATTAATATCCTAACATGTTTCTATCAGTTTATTGACAACAACAAATAGGAAGATAGGGGTCGATGCTTCTTCCGTCTGTTCCCACACTAGATTCGCCTCAATTTTTTTCTAATAAAATATGTTATGAAACCGACATAGGGGCATACGAATATCAAAGAATTTAATTTCGTGCACCAGTAAGTAAAGTTGAACGGCACTATTATTATTTGTATCAGTAGGTTTAACGCAGAGGCGTAACGGAATGGGTAGAAGAGAATGAACAGAAAATGTTTCATGTTATTGTTAGATCATCAACAACGACAACGACATATTCTTCTACTCTTCTTCTACAGTTTCCTTCACAAAAACCTAGCACTAACAGCATGTCAACTTGCTCGTTAAAAGAAAACTTCCAGTTCATTTTAAAAACACTCAAACAACAATTACTTAATTGAACAACTCACTTGCTTTGTCAAGTTTGACGTTTATTTTCATAGCCAACTTTTGAATTTTCGATGATTTTCAGTTATTCGAGTTTTTGATGAATATGATGAGGTTTTTCGAAAAATAACTGGAGTAAGAAAAGTTTCAGAATTGAATTGCCCACAAAACAAAGCAAAGATTTTTGAAATCCATCAAGGGTTAACAAAATTCTGTTGAATATTAATGGTGCGCCACCCGGTATACCCCCTTTACAAATTTCAATTAAACTCTAGTTACTGTCAAGTAACGCCCTAGATACGTCCACAAAGTGTACCGAATTTGGTTGCTTCAAGTTCAAGAATAACGGAGATATTGATTTTTTTCAAAATTTATAACTTCACTTTCGAAGCCTATAACTTTTTAGGGAAGCAACTGTTAGATATTTCATTCAATATCATCGACAACATCCCGTATTTTGATATCTTGAGAGCTGATGTCACTTTTGAAAGATAATTAATTAATTCGGTTGTCAATCATCGAAAGGTTGAATCTGTGCGTGAGAGGGATATTTTATGTATTTTGGTTATATTAATAAATACTGCCGTCGTTAAAAGGGGTATTTACTATCACTTCAGAAGTGGTGTTCGATTTCGCGGCCAAATATTTCTATCGAGACGTTGTATCTGTTCGAAAGGAAGGTGCATTTTAGAAATCAGACAGAAGAATCAAGACGAAGAGAGGCTGAGTCGTTGATTAGGTTGGGTTTGGTTTGGTACATGTTTCGAGGTGTAGGTAAGCGTCTATAGATAAGTTGAAGTAGTCTTGGCTGATAAAATGATACATCCTGATTCTGATTCCAATATTCTGGCAAATGGAGTGGTTGATGATGCGGAGAGCACAACTCCAGCAGCAAGTAGTAATATTAGTCATGGGGTAGATTTCCAAAATATGATGTTCAAAATGACAGAATTGATGACAGCTCAGTTGAATATTTTGAATAACAGTAAGACACAGTGTGTTGTGTCGCAAGTACCATCAGTGTTATGGCATTTTGATGGGGATAGGGAGCGATTTAGAGCAAAAGAATGGTTAGATACGATCAATTTGAGTAGTACTTTGCAAAATTTAGATGACATTTCCAAAATTAATATTGCTCGCGCATACTTGAGGGGTCCGGCAGTAGCGTGGTTTGATAGAGTTGGTAGGGGAATTGCTAGATGGGAAAATTTTGAATCTCAATTCAGATCAACATTTATTCAAACAATTTCTACCGCGGATCGCTGGGATAGAATGCGTTGTAGGATACAAAAGCCTGCGGAAAGTATATCTAGTTATTTTCATGATAAGGTGAGACTTTTATCAGAATTGAATCTACCATTCGCAGAGCAAAAATGTGAAATTTTGAAGGGATTGCATAAGGCAGATATAGCGGGAAATTTGATAATCAAAAATCATTTGACGGTTGATGATTTGTGGCAAGATTTATTACTTCTTGAGCAAGTGTATGAACGTATGAGAAAATCTAGATATGTTAACGACGATAGGAGTAGACCAATAACGAATGAGGGCAAAGGGCATGAGGTAGTTTGTTATAACTGTGGTTGTAAGGGTCATTTGAGAACAAAATGCGACAAACCTAAAC